ATAGATAAATGCGGCGGCTCACATGTTGAAAGCCACTACTTGTAAAATTAATGACCCAAGGCTCTGCCAACCCTGGAAGCCCTGATATATCCACAGTAGGCCCATGAGCAGGGCCAAGGCTGCAGAGACGAAGAGCTTCCGGCGCCAAAGGTCACGAAGCTGGCTGAGGAGGGGGATACCCTCCAGGCCCCTTCGGCCTCTCCGGCCTGAGGCCTCTGCATTTGCAGCAACGCGTGAGGGCCGTGAGTGCCGGCTGAAGGCCCCAGATCTCCAAGCCGTCAAGGAGAACGCCAGAGGCAATGCAAAGGCTCTGCAGCTTGATGTAAAAGTCTCTGGCTGTTGAAAAGGCTTAGGGGACGCTTCGAAGCCAGAAGTTGATTGCCAGATTTTTGGACGCAGACCGCTAACAGCTGCAGGCAACATGGCCGTGGCGGCTAAGGGTTCAAGTTGCGACTGAAGGTTATGCCCATATAGACTCTGCAGTTTAGATGCCCTTCGCAGTCTGCATTTGCATCATTTCGCAACAACAGGGACTGTAGGCTGATGCGATTCCTGTGCACTGCGATGGATGTTTTGGCGACTCTCAAGAAGCGTTGAGAGCCGCGTACAACATGCTGGGCTTCTGCTGCCGTACTGAGGACAAACGCCTATGGCCTGAGAAGAGCAAGCAAAAGCCTGGAAGCGCACTTGCCATGTAAACTTAGGGTAGGCTGCAGATCTATGGCACCCAACCCATACCTGCAGGCACATGGCTCTTTTCCTCGCGCTCACGCGCCAGCACAGACCTTCCAATCGAAGCTCTGCATTTGGAGTTTAAGCTCCGCATTGGAGCTTCCAAAAATCAGGGCCGCACTTCTTCTGGATCTTGGTTTCAGCGTTGTGATTGTCAAGGTTTTGGTGCAGGGGCTGATCGAATTCTGTTGGATAATTTGTGGAGCAAGGTGCCAGAAAGACTCCGACAACTCCTTGTGAAAATTTAGAATGCAGAACCCAGGAAGAAGTGCAACATGAAAAAAGAGCAACACAACTGCAAAGATGAGGCAGAAGCAGCAAAAGTAGCAACAAATACAAGTATGCTATAGTATGGCCTCTTTGCGGCTCCTAACCTGAAAATGCTGAACCTGCAGCCCTACTTCATTTGTACGCCCTATACATCACAGGATACCTTCTTTTAGCCTTGTTTGGGCATCAATTGAGGGCTGGAGGGGTGCTAGGTTGTACAGGGGGCTATGAACAGAGCCCTGACCTGACCCAATCGAGAGCTCACAACCTGATTTGGCAGTTTCCGTAAATAAAGATCCCAATATAGACGCCCTTTCAATATAGTCCTTACACTGGGGACCCCAAAAAAGGCATCCCCTAATTGTTGGAAACCCTGATTTTTGGAAGCCACCCACGCGATCTAAATGCGCGCAGCGACATCACAGCGAGAGCTTCGACAAGGCCTTCGCAGGCTTTCAGTGGGTTTGGAGCTGGCTTCTTGGTCTTTAAAGATCTAGACCCTTTAATCCTCCCCCTGCCTAGGGTCTTGAACTTCATTCCCTGTGTCCGGTATCTACAGAACTAGGTAGCCTAAACATACGTAGAGTACTAGGGTCCAGGTCAAGCTCAAGTTTTTGGAGAACAGGTGTAGGGCTTTGCCATGGGATTTCAGGGCTTCCGCTGGCGCTTCGAATCGTGCAGGGTCTCATCTATCTGATTCACAACTTTCTCCAACAGCTGGTGCTTGGGGGCAACATCGCGGGTTCGGAGTCTGAAGCCAAAAGCCTGGCCATCACAGAACAAATAGCGGTAAAACGAATGCCAGCGGGGCTCGAAAAAACGATTGCGCGGTCAGGAAAATATGTCGCCTCACATCAGTAGAACCTAGTACTTGGAGGGTCAGGGGGACTTAGTCAGTAGGTTAATAACCCCTATAAGCCACATAGTAACCCCAGTTATCCCCCTTCTTAACCTACTTACTGAGTCCCCCTGACCCTCCAAGGAATCCCTAAACCCTAAACCCTAAACCCTAAACCCCTAAATCGTTTGGTACTGGGGAGAAGGTTGTACCTACTCAGGCATGAGCCAAGCGGACCTGGCCAAGGTCAGCAGGGCTACGGCATGGGCCAAGAGGATTTGGGGGTTTAGGGTTAAGGGGTTTAGGCGTTTAGGGGTTTAGGGTTTAGGGGTTTAGGGGTTTAGGGGTTCAGGGGTTTAGGGGTTGAGGGGTTTAGGGGTTTAGGGTTGGCCAATAGTGAGGCCCTGACTCTGGGATCTCAGATACATTTATGCTACATATCTTCTACTTATGAGCTGTTCTCAATTTTTTTGGCCCCTTTGGGATGTAGGTTATAGTACGGCAGTTAATACTTAGGTACCAAAATGGGGATCTAATTTTGGGAACTGCCCTTATTACTAGTCTGTCCCTCGTATTGTCAACATTGCCGTTCCTCATTTTATGTTTTTCCCTAACCTGTCAGCCTTTGAGTCTCCCAGAACAAGCTACGGGCTCATTTCAAGTAGGGCAGGTTTTGGGGGCCCCCCAAAAAATCTATGGCTTTCTGAGGAATATGTATATATATATAGGGATTAAGGGTAGTACAGATTAAAAGCATTTCTAAACCTACCCCTGTTAAGACCAGGGTTTCCCATCTTGACTTCTTGGGTTTCTATTTGTGGCTATGTTGGGGATTCCCAAAACTAGGGGAACCTTTTTGGGTGTCCCTTTCAGAGGATTATAGCATTATGGGGTCTATATTGGGGTCCCCCTATATCGGGAAACGGCCATGTGTAGGAATAGCTTAGCACCATGCCCTCCTCTGTTTGACGCTTGGATCTTTAATGTGCTGTTTCTGGAAATCTACCCTACAAAAACCAAAACAAAACACATAACGAGAAGGATATTCAGGGTGCAGGTTCAGGTACTAAAACACAAACCCTGAACCCAATACAATCTTGACCCTGCTACGAAGAAGCTTTAACAAGATGGTCAGGGTTTCCAGAAGTTGCGGAGTACTTTGTAGGGATCTCCTAGCTCAGCGTCTAGTATCTGGGTGTATATTCTGGCGAGCCCAATAATTGTTTTTATCAAACCTTACATCTCTTTTGGGGGTTTTAGACTCCTACTATCCCTACATAACCCCTGTAATCTGCAAAAACTTTGAACGGGACTCTTGTTTTTAGGGACCCTCGTCAAAAAAGAGGATGGATCAGGCCTCGAACAGAGCTCGACCACCTTCTCGCTCCGCACAGCGAAGCGCCTCTTGATTTCTGGAGCTTACACCTACAGTGGGTGTTTTACTTTTATTGGTATTATTACTTCTAGGATTACTACTTTATTACTACTACTATTACTATCTGGCGTGTAGGATAGGGAGTACTGCTTCATTGTGATTTTTGTGCCCACCGCCTCAAACAAAGGGAATCCTTCCGCTCCTATTACAAGCAATACAGTTTAAATTGCCGTTGGAAGCTAGGAAGGGTTGAGTCCTTGGCCGTGGATCTTGACCTAAATTTTTAAATGCTTGGCATCACATTCACCCACCAAAGAACTAGAGCGAAAATAACTTGTTGTTGGAATCTGATTGCCTGGGTAGATCACATAAACGGTTTATGAAGAAATCTAGGGCTTCGAGCAGCATCAAATTCCAGACTCCAAAGCCTCGGGTTCTTGAAGCAAGAGAGGCTGGCCTTTATCTTGAAATTCCTCGTCGGTAGCCTTCCCTGGAAAAATAACAGTTACGCAGAATACCCTTCCCATTATTGGACTCACCACAGAACATATATTGGGTATTGAAGAGTTTTCGACAAGCTTTGATTGGGAACCCTGCACTAATCAGGATCACTTAAAACAAGTGTGTAGGTGCGTATCTTTGCTTGTGTATGTACATTTGATATACCTGTAAGTGCATTTTGCTTCGTGTGTATTCGCGAGTTACATGAGGATGTTTAGAGGTGCTCGGGGATGGACGAAGATCACGCCTCTCGCATTCAGGACGTGCCCGTAAAAATCCCTCTGCCAGAACTAGCGGCTAAGCAGGAAGCCAAAGCCTCTTACCCGCCCCTCTTGATCTCGAAGCCTAGGACATGCAGACTCCCTCTGGAGCCTCGCCATCTACGACGTCTCCTCGAGAACAAGTCACGGCTACACAGAAGTGCAATTGCTAGGCCTAGGTCGGCCTCGCCTGTCTGATAGCCGTGATCTCTTGAAGCTCTCAGCACATCATGACTCAAGACTGCAAACAGCATAGATTTTGAGGAACTATCGTTTGCACATAGCAATGGCACACACTCTTCACCAGCTTGGAGATTTGTGCTAGAACATCAGGACATAAAGCCCACCAATCGTGCCATGCAGTGTTCAACTCCTGTTGGGCGGTTCGCGACGTTGACGACCGCTGCTGCAGCTTTCATACTGCCCTCGGAATGCAAGAGAACATCTGCATATCCTTTCTACACCAGTGCAAAAGTACGATGATGCTCGTGCCCGCCTCCAGGATCTGGGTGTGTACAGGTATGCTTGATCTGACACTGGGCTGATTCGCAGTGGGTTTGGGCACGTTTTGCCAGTCACCGCCTTTTTCTTGATGAAGGCTTGATGCTCAAGAGACATTGACACGAAACACATACTGCAAGGCATCGGCAGTCGCTGGCTGGGACAAGTTGGCACTCGCCGGGGGCTTCATTGATTGCAAACCTGCGGGACCTTTTGCACATGCATTGTCCGGGCCTACACGCGCTAAAGGCCTGTCTCTTTTATGATGCCCACCTGACTTAACATAATTAGGCGAAGCTTTGCGATCAAGATCCCACCCACGAAAACATGAATACTCTTGGAACAAAGTTCCAATTGCACTTGCATGCAGCTACAGCCATGAACCCAAAACTCAAGACCGCAAAAATGCAAAGTGGCCTTCGGCAGGCAGCTGCGAGCTAAATGGAAAAGTTGGAAGGTTTCCATCTCCTCGGCCACAGAAACGACAGCAAGAGAGAGAAGAAGCCTGCAAGTGAAAAGTGGACAGACGGCTGATGCAAAAAAAAACCGGCGCGTTGTTATAAAGTACCGTATGGCTTGGGAATTGTGGTATTCTAGTATGAAGGATGACAGAAATATCTGGTGGCATCATCGCTGCTATTGCCATATGGGGGTTACCCAAAACTAGGGGTACCCTTTTGGGGTCCCCGCATTTTGGGAAACTACCATATTGCCAGGAGTACTAGTATATTCTATCTGTGGGCATTCAAGTCGTATGGAAAGCAGCAACATCCGAAAGAACATTGTCACCACAGATCACAGAACAAATGGTCCAAGTGTTGATTCAAATGCATGTACAGATATCCCAGTGGGATTTCTGCTGCTTCTTTAGATTCAGTGAAGCTGTAGCGTCATTAAATCCGCCCCTCGATGAACAAAGGATCCCTGAAGCCGTTACACGGAAGGA